CCTGAGGCAGTGTCGGCTTTCATCATGAGAGGAGAAGCCTGGTAGGGTGCGAAGCACCTGGGCACTTCCTGGTGGAAGGGTGGAGCAAACCATGCGAGTCTCCTCGCCGGTGGCGTGAACAAGTTCCTCATCTGTCAGTCCTTTGAGGAACGCTTTGTCGATGCCCATAGATGCTAAGATCCATTCTGGATGACACGCAGCCTCACCTGCTAGAAGCCTCTGGGACTGTCGGCGAGCAGTTCCCGAGAAGGTTTCTACATCGACAGCCTCCGTGTCCATGAACCCACGGAGGGCGCGTCCAAGACGGATGGTCTTAACAGTACCGGTGCCTACTTTCACAAACTTCCACTTGCATGCATCTATGGATGTTATGATGTTGGAAGCTTTTGATAGGTCATACATCTCAGCGCATCGGTTGTCAAGCCAGATCTTGAGTTCGGTGCACAAGGCTTCACTAACCTCTTTAGGGCGAGCTGCTATGTCGGCTTTGGTGAGTAGGTCGTCTTCCTTGACAACCACAGCACGTTTAGCAGCCGATGATGCGTATACTCTCATCGTGGCGACCATGTTTGGTTCGAGCTGTGCGAGCTGGGTCTGGTCCAGCACGGTCTGTGACACTTCTGGCGTAACACATAGCTCGACATATGGACCATATTCATCACTGTCAAGAGAATAGCCCTCGTCAGGTGTAGTCGAGCATAAAGAGACAAGACAGGGCTCTTGTTGTTCAGGCTCGTCTCCGAGCATCTCCGATACCACGGTATCTTCCTCGTCCACAGATGCTGAGACCAAGACACACTGGTCGGGCAGCATGGTTGTTGGGACGCAGTAGAGATAGTCGTCGATAGCCGTTGTGGGATGAAGGTCCAAACGCAACTCATCGTACCACTCCTCCATCATCACAACCTAGATGTCGTGTTCCTCGCTTTCTTTGTAGATTGTAGACAGGCGACCCTCACTCGGTGATGAAGCACCTGGGGTGTCTGGAAGAGGCCTGTCTCCAGGCTGGCCGGATCCCCCAGACGGTGTGTCCAAGTGTTGATACTTGGCAAGGTCGCCATGGAATCCTAGGGAAGGAACTTGCGACCTCAGGCGCTGGATGAGTCTGGAGTGAGTGCTACCAGTGATTTGAGAGATGTTCAGGCCGGTGCCTACACACTCATAATAGTGGAAGGCTGGGTAAACATCGCTGTCGTAGTGGATCAGTGTAGACCCGGTGGCGTACTTCACTGCAGGTAGATTGAGCACGCTCTTGGCCAATCTCACGGCTACTACGCGCTCAACTCGGAAATAGTTTCGCACGAGATTCTGTAGTGCTAGGTGCACGCGCGGGTGAAACTTGCTGTCGTCGGAGAGATTGAGGTCCCCCTTGTAATCTAGACTGTAGCCAAAGATTTTGGCAAGTTTCCCTGCACCAAGGTGTGCCACATATGCAAGGACGGTTTGAATGGCCACGTTGTCCATGCCAAGTTCCCTGGTGAGAAGGCATGCAATGTATAGCGTGTGGCGAGCACCAAGATACATTACAACTACCTCACGCGATCCTGCCTTGACGACTACGTGTCCTCGTTCAGGCACGTTACGGATCACAGGGAACGGGCCATTCCAGCCTCCATGGTCGTCCTTAGTGGCCGTGGGTCGGTGATAACCGACCAAGTCCCCAGCTGAGTATAGGCGAGCACCATCTGGGGCCTTTTTAGCCCTGAAAGCACGGTTCGTCTTCGCTACCGCCGTGGCTTGAGTTCTTGCTTCCAGGCTGACTTCCCTTGCGCGACGTTTGCGTTCGCGGCCTGACGTCTCGGGTCCCTTGGGGAAGTCAAGGGCGTCGTGGTCAGGAAGGAAAGAGGGCCGTCGCCCAATGCGTGCTTGGTACGGCGATACTCCGCTGTAAAACGTGAAAGCGTTAGTGACGAAGGTGCCTTCGGCCAGTACTCTGGTAAATTCAGTGGGGATAATGTGTCTGGTCAGCTCTTCCTCAATCATGTGGAGAGTGCCCCTAAGAATGCCATTGCGTGGCTCGATCGAGGTCGCGTGCTGGCCAGGCGCTCGGATACGAAGTGCCGTGCCCTTATTCGCCATCACGGCCTTTGCAGTTTCATTATTGAGGGCACCTTCTCCATCTGAATACAAGACTTTGAAGGGTCCATGATGAGCGATCCAGCAGTAGTGGTAGGCGTCGAGTATGGTGTCACGTTCTCTATCGGGAATTTCTTGGCCTGCTGCCAGGCGAATACATCGGTCCATAATGTGGAATATGGTCCGTTTCCTGCAAAACATGAGATCTACTTCGCCTTCGTCAAGCCAATTCCCAGGAAGGCTTACGGAAGGTAGCGTAGAGTTACCTGGGCGCCCCCATGCTCTACATTCCCGACAGGTGTCGCAGATTTCTTAAATCATATTCAGTCGAACGCGATCCAGTCCCACTTTCTCTAGGATCGGCCTCATCTTGGGTTCCTCCGCGTGATACTACCGTACGTGCAGTTTGCGGAGTTCCTTTTTGACTACATGAGGTTCATGACTACGGAGGTTTGGCAGACTGTGTTGGATGTCAAATCTCGCCCAGTCGGGCAATCGTGGAGCCCCCGGGCCGGTTGAGGCAAGAGGGTTCCTCGTGGCTCTCCGCAGTCGGTCTCCTTCGTCAACTGCATCTGGTGGTGGAGGTACGCCTTGTAAGCGACCACGGCGGGCGGCTACCTGTGGTGATTCGCCCGAAGACGCGGGAGGCGTGTTTCCACGCTCGGGCGCGTCTCGCAGTATGTCATAACTGCTAGCGCCAGGTGTAGGATCAGCGTTCCCAAAGGCGCGTGGTCGTAGCGGCCTGGCACGAGCGCCCTGACGGCCACCCGATGCCGAAGATTGGCCCTCGCCGGGCTTGGGTAAGGGTTTCCACCAAGCTGGCACAATACGGCCCTCGGGGTCATGATCATCTGGGAGTTTGAACGGCTCGGCAAAGCGACATTTGCCGGGCTCAGAGTCGAGGTGATTCTTAACGCCCTTGCTTCTCGGAAGATCCCTCTGGCATGCAGGGCATGGCCAGTGCACAGAGATGGAGTCATGATATTTATACTGTGTAGGATCTCTGTTGTGGCTGGGACTGTCCTTTCGGACGTTGTCGATACATGCTGGGCATGTGGCCACTTTGGGATAATACGGTCACCGATGCGTCTCATACCCTCTCCTGGTTCAGCTTGATCAGGGAGGTCGGCAGGATATGCACGAGCAGCTCGTGCAGGCGCGTCTCCGCGCGCATTGTCGATGGCTTTCGCCAGATAGACGGCTTCCACTAAGCCAGACTGCAGTCGTCGAGTGTATTTTTGTGCCAGTGAAAACTCCTTGTTGCACGGCTGTGCATGCACATGCTGACCGTTGCACTTGAGTCGCTCAAAGGGTTTAAGAATTGCCTCGTCGTTGCTTGTGATATGTGTCGGCTTCTTGATATAGTCACCAGCCGTATCCTTAAGTCTCATCGCACATTGGTCGATGCGTGCAGTCGTGATGCGAGGTCGGTCGGCAAGTTCTTTCCATGGGGAAATATCATCCACCCATGTCCCTGTGGGTTGTTCGCGTATAAACCACCTCCGTGCATTATCTTGTGTGACAGCTATTTTGCCACAGTAAGTTATGCGTGGCAAATCTTCTTTGCGGTGCTGGCTTCAAGTTTTATCCGCCGACCCCTTGGGGATCATCGGCGTGTGCAATGCTCCCCCCTCCCCAAACCCCTCCCCCGGGAACCCGGCCCGGTCGATTTGGAGGGGGGGGGGGGCCACCACGAGCGACTCACGACGCTTTTCCGGGCCCAAACGGGCCCAAATGCGGGCCAAGATGGCCCCAAGAGGCCTCCCAGACGTTCCAAGAGGCCCCCGGACGCCCCAAGAGACCGCCTAGACGCCCTAAGAAGCGCCCAAGAGGCCCCAAGAGGCTTCCAAGACGCCCCACGAGGGCCCCAAGACGCCCGAAGAGACCTCCAAGACGCCCCAAGAGACCTCCAAGAGGCCCCCGAGGAGCGCCCCAAGAGGCCCAAATCGTTGATTTTCATGTTTTTTTTGATGTTTTCGTCATTTTCGCCGTTTCGGCTCTCCGACGCTCCAAGACAGCCCAGGAAGCTCCCAAGACTGCTCCAAGACGGCACAAGAGGCCTCCACGACGCCCCCAAGACGGCCCAAGAGAGCCCCCAGACGGCCCAAGAGCCGCCCAAGGCGGCCCAAGAGAGCCCCCAGACGGCCCAAGAGCCGCCCAAGACGGCCCAAGAACCTCCCGGAGACGGGCCCAAGAGGGGCTCCAGAGATAGACCACGCACCGGAAAACCCAGCCTCACGCCCCAAGAGGCCCCCAGGAGGCCCCAAGAGGCCCCAAAGAGGCCCCAAGAACCCCCCAAGTGGCCCCCAATACGTTCCAAGAGGCGCCCAAGAAGCTACAAAGAGGCCCCAAAACGGCCCCCGAGAGCCTTCGAAACTACTCCAAGAGGCCCGCAAGAAGCCCCCCCGCAAGATCCCAACGGACATCTCCGAACACACCGGTTTTTCGAATCGCGCCCGACCCCATAGCCCGGAGCCTCATCTCAGTGTCCCCCTCCTCCTCCTCCTCTTCCTCCTCCTCCTACACTTCCTCCGCGTCCCCCTCCTCCTCTTCCTGCCCCGCTTCAGCTCATCCTCACCGATGCTTCTCCCCCCATTTTCCGCCTCGCCCCCCACCCCCCTCTCCCCGTCCTCCCTTTTCTGCCCAGCGCGCGCAACCGATTGGGCATCATTTGCGCGTCTTGCACTTTAGGGTGCCCTTCTTTGCGTCGCGCGGGACATTGTGCGGGTCGGGGAACGCCGACTTTGGTGGCCCTCTCTTGCACGCGCCGCTGCGCTGATAAGCCTGGCAACTGCGCGCTGTGAACCCGAGTTCCTCGCAGCTTCTGCACGCCGCTTTAGCTCCTTTCGCCGCTCGATGATGTTCCACTTGCATCTGCTTCAAATGTTTCGCGTCCGAGAACGCGCCTTTGCACGCCGCGCGCGTCAGCGGCTTCGCGGCGCGAGCGAGGGGTCGAGCTGCGAGGGCGAAGGCGGCGCGCCGAGACTGCCGGGCCACGCCGCGGAGGCCGTGCACTGCAGCAGGTAGTTCGCCCACTCGGGGCGGACGCCGCAGACGATGTCCTGCAGGGCTGGCCCTAAACATTTTTTTTTCGCTATGTTTTTCGTTTTGTTTTTCGTTTTGTTCTGCCTGCTTTCCTGTGCCCCCCTGCCGAGAACGACGAGCAAAACAAAACCAAAATCCAATGAAACAGCGTTTAGTCCAGCCCTGATCAACGTCACGTCGCCGCGGGGGCCCCCAGGGCCCCGCCGGCGCAGCACGGTCGATTCGCGTCGTCTTTTCGGGCGGAGAACGAGGGAGTGACGCGCCGATGGGGCCCCCGGCGGCCCCGCGGAGGCGCGACATTGACACTCGTTCGCCCCCCCGAGATGTCCTGCGGGCTGACGCGCGCCAGGTGAGCAGCCAGCTCGCCGAGCGCCCCGGCGGCGAGGGCGATCCAGCCCTCGACGAAGGCGACCTTCTCCTCGAACGCGCCCGGCGCCGCCGCCTTCTCGCCGGGCGGGCCCCCGAAGAGCTCCGCTGCGTCGATGCCCGTCTGCCTGGCCACCTCGGCCACGGCGTCGAAGAGGAAGCGGAAGGGCGGCTTCCGGAGCCGGTCGGGCAGCAGCCTGGTCCAGAGGACGAAAGGATACCGATGCCCCATATCTGCGACGTCGTGAAACATCAAAACGAAAATGTATCGCAGTTTTCAAGCCTCCGGGGACCCTCAACGGGCCCCGGGAGCGTCGCGAAAAAGACTCGGGATGCAAAACCGGTCCGAGGGAAAGGATCGGGACTTCCAGGAACCGCGATTCGGGGGGGGGCGGCATCGGATGTCTGGGCGCCGATGCCGCTGCTCAGGATTCGCCTCGAAATCCAAATCAGAACGCACCCCCGGAGAGGTCCAGGGGGTAGGGGCATCGGTATCTTCTGGTTCCCCTAGCCTGGGCTTGGAGACGTCCGGAGGAAGGCCGCTCGAGACAACGGCGGTGAAACAACGGCGGCCCTCCAGCCCGGCCCAAGTCCGCTCAAAATGAAACCCCGGAGCCCCCCCGGGGTCCAGACTGACCCGTTTTCCAAGCTGCGTCCGGCCGCGGCGACAAGGGTGGCCCCCCCGAGAGCCAAAAGGCGGCCCTTGTCTCAAGAGGCCCCCCTCCGAGATGAGCTGCCCCAGCGTAGACTGCGTCAGCGCCACGAAGCCCTCCAGATGCTCCGCGGCCGCCTGCGGCTCCTCGGCGGCCATTCGGGGGAGCGCGCGCGGTCGGCGCGGCCGACGCGGCCGGGCCCGCGCGCGCGCCCCGGCTGAAGGGCGCTGGCAGCGCGGGGACGGGGCGGCCGCAGAGACCGAATCCGCCGACCCCTTGGGGATCATCGGCGCGTGAGATATTTCCCCCTCCCCCGGGGGCCCGGTCCGGTCGATTTGGAGAGGAGGGAGTGCCCCGAGCGAGCTCACCCGGGCCCAAGCGAGCTCGCCCGGGCCCGAACGAGCTCACCCGGGAGACTCCGGGCTCCCCGGACTTGCTCTGGGAAGCCCAGAGGCGCCCAATAAACCTCGAAGACGACCCCTTGGGGATCATCGGCGTGCGAGATGCTTCCCCCTCCCCGAACCCCCCCCCCGGGAACCCGGCCCGGTCGATTTGGAGGGGGGGGGGGGGGGGGGGCCCACCGCGAGCGCGTCACGGAGCTTTTCCGGGCCCAAGAGGGCCCAAAGACGGGCCAAGAAGGCCCCGAGAAGCCTCCCAGACACCCCACGAGGGCCCCGAGACGCCGAAAAATCGTTCGAATACGCTCAAAATGGCCTCCAGACGCCCCAAGATGCCTCCAAGACGCCCCGAGAGGCTTCCAAGAGGCCTCCCAAGAGGCACCGAAAAGCGAGAATCGTTGATTCTCATTGGTTTTGTCCAGAATGCTTTTGGCTTTCTCACCTTTTCTGGCTTCCGACCCTCGAAGACGGCCCAAGAGGCCCCCAAGACCGCCCCAAGACGACCCAAGAGGCCTCCAAGACGGCCCAAGCAGGCCCAAGACGGCCCAAGAGGACCCCAAGACGGCCCAAAAGAGCCTCAAGACAACCCAAGAAGGCCCCAAGAGAGCCCCAAGGCCAGCCCGAGAGGGGCCCAAGAGGGGGACCACGAAGCGAAAAACAAAAAAACAGCTTTCCGCCCCAAAAGGCCACCAGGAGCCCCAAGAGACCCCCAAGAGGCCCCCAAAAGGCCCCAAAAAGGCCACAATCAGCCCCAAAACAGCTCCCCAGGTGCCTCCAAACTGTCTCCAGCAGGCCCCCGAGAGGCTTCTCACGAGATCCCAGCGAATATCTGAGAGGCCTCTGAAACACAACTCAGGCACGGTGGCGGGATGGGCCGACTACTGGGAGAGGAGCAAAGACGACGACGATATGAACGCGGGGGATAAAGTCGGGCCATGACGTCCCCAAGACGTCCAAGATTGCCCCCCCAAAAAAACAAGGGGTCGGCGGTGTGGCGTACGCCTGAAGAATCTTTGGCTTTGCAGTTGTAGTAGGATGGTGGTCCTGTGGCGCGGCAGTTAGGCTGTAGGGTGGCTACTCGTACATAGCATACTGCAAAGTAGTGGTCTACAGCTCGCTGCACCGATGGATCTCCCAGGTCGACACACGTGGTCTTGTCTAGATTGCCTTCCGAGGAGAGACCTCTTGAGAAGGCAAACTCTGAAATGCCACCCTCACTTCCGTGCAGCTCCACCATATCCACGCAATTGTTGTTGCCATAGCGTAGAGTAGCCACTATGCTGTATATGTCGGCGTGTATCGGGCATAGATGTGGGGAGGGTAAGGAACAGGTCATCTTCCTCGTCAGAGCTAAGCTCGACAGGGACATCAGTGCTCCAGGTCGCCATAAGATCCTGTCAGAGTCCTGACAAGTCGTCGCCGCAATCATCGTTTCCATCCTCAACGTGCTGTTTGATGCGGCGAGGATTGATGCCTGCTTCCTTTTCAGCTTTAAGCTTTCCTTCTGTTTGATACGCGACTCCGTGGGTAAGACGTGCTCGTCATGCTCACCGGTCTGTGTGCCCATTGTCGTTGATGAGTGGGTACCTGCAACAATCGCCAGAGCCAGGAGGGGGGAAGGACAGTAATCTACGATGACGCGTCTAGGTTTCTGTGGTGATTGAGCAAGCTCGTTGCCGAGCATGACCAGTTCCTCGGGCTGCCAGTACATCCGTGTACTGATTTTGGCAACCCCTGCAGGTAGTGGCGCATGCCAATCATATCCCGTTGGTTGATCGGCTACTGCGAGATCCTGAATAACCGTATTGGTATCCAGGTTAATCGTTACACGTCGGATATCATCGGACCACTTCGGTCCCTCTTTATTGGTCGTCACATAGTGATGTATGTTGTGATCCGTACGTGTGTTGGTATTTAAGTATACCGGCGAGTTTCCGCGCGTAGTGTTGCCTTTTCCCAGGATCCTATCGTTGAGGTGACGAATGAGTGCGATGCGTGTCTGTGAACTCCATTCGGCATGTCGTACCGTTTGGCCGTACCAATCCAGGACATGTTGTTGTATCGCCAGTTTGCACGTACATGCCCATAGCTTAGAGCTAATCGGTATTGATGTGGCTACCTGCATATATGTACCACTTGGTGTATTGTCTTGCATCTTGAATCTTATACCGAACTGACACAACCGCATCCGTACTACCGTCAACTTAAGATCCTCCAGAGTATTACGAATTGGAGACAACTTCCAAACGTATCCTGGGGGACCAAACACTATAATTGTCATGCGGAGCTTCCTGGCCTTCGTCAGAAGGTTCTGAATGCGCGACCAGTGTGGGGCTACTCTTTTACCTGGGGTCCGTGCGTACCAGTCACCCGGAGTACTGACCCATATTAAAGCATAGTCCCCAGTAAACACCGCACCCAGATACTCTGTGCCCACAGTTGTCATGAGCTCGTTGTGGGAAATGCGGTCACAGGAGTATCGTCGGGTGCGGAGGTCAGCGCAAGCTTCTCTCGTATCTTCGATAACGAAAGCTCTTATGGCAGGTTACCCCGCTGTCCTTGTTACCCCCTAGCCTCTCGGCCATCAAGCAAGGCGACGAGGGGGCAGCGTCGCCCTGCCATCTTCAAGATAAAGAAGATGTACCTGCCACATCTGCCAGCATCTGAGCTTCTCTCAAATGCTGGATCTGCGCGCTGCAGCGCGCCGTAGCCTCAGCGGCGGATTGCTCCGCAAACGTGTCCAGCATGGATGGATTACCCATCAGCTGCTTCAGGAGGCCCTTCGACCTTGCGTCGTTGACAGTCTGCAGCTCGTGATTCGTGTACCCCATCACTATCTTCCGGCGTGTCCTCGCAGCATCCATGGGTGCAACTCCGCCATGCTGGGCCAGTGTCCTGGCTACGAAGCAATCGAACGTTTCCAGATCGTCGATGCTGTCGCCTTTCATCGTCGCCTTGGCGAGTATCGCGAGCAGCCCCTGGGGCAGGTTTCCCTGCAATTGTTGGCGCTCTTGCGCGGGGGATGGCTCGCCTGTCAGCACCGTCTGGTACGATGTCATACTCGTACTTGAAGCGGGTTGCCCCGCGGCCCCGAATCGATCACACCTGATTGACAGATGTCCTGATGGCAACTTCGTTGCAGGCATGATCTTGGAGCCCTTGGGGAGTTCCATCTTGACCTGCCCTTTTCCAAGGAATATGAGCTTCTCCTGGCCTCGCTCGAGCACAATAATGGCGCGCATGTCCTGCATGCTGTCGAGGCCCAGGATTGCAGGCAGGTCCCTGCCGCAGCCTGACGCAATATTAGTCTTGTACGAGTCGAGCTGGGTCGAGCCCTGGCACCCGCAGGCAATGCTGAAAGTGCCCACGGTATCAGCTGGGGCCGACCCCTCGCCTACCCCGTTGATGTTCAATCGAGAACGGGGTTCAAACGTACACGGACGATTGTGTGCCTCAGCAGCCTGGACGAATTTCGGGCTCGTGTTCTCTCCCATTATATTGATCTTCGAGCCCACGTCTATGAGGATCGAATTTCCACCGTCCTCCAAAAACGTCCTGCTCGGCTGCTTTATGTGCGCCGTCTCTGACATGCCGGCTGCGCTGTCTGGCGGGTTTCCCCGCATCTCAGTCGTACCTCCTGGCGGGTTTCCCCGCGTCGTGCTGGCACTTGGCCTTCCTGCAGCCATACGTGCCAGGTCGACGTACTGGAAGTACGACACGTCCTGGGCGTGAGCGCCCTGTTCCCTCCGCCAGTTAGCATACTCATCGCGTATGCTGGTATACTGTTCACGAGTGGTGCGTCGCGTCAGCGTCAGATATGAATGAAGGGCGATGTCTTGCAATCCCTCATTTGTAAGGTGATCCCTGTGCTGCAACCACTCGTCGAACTCAGCATTCGTGGCTGAGAGTTCAACGGCCCTGACTGCCGTTGCCGCTGTCGCCACTGAAGAATCTGAGAGGTCAAACGACTCGCTCTCGGGACTATCGGCGCCCAACATGAACGCGGTGTGTGCGTTGCCCATCTGGGTCTGGAAGTGGCGAACACGCAGCTCACGCAGCTGTTCAGGGCCCAGTGGCAGCTCGGCCCCACCCCCGCCCTGGGGTGACATCGGAGGAGCCACCTGCCCGACTCCAGGCTCGTAGTGAGTTGGAAGGATCGGCACAAGCGGGGTGGGTATTGG